GTGTGTGTGTGTGTGTGTGTGTGTGTGTGTGTGTGTGTGTGTGTGTGTGTGTCCATAAAATCATGAGCTCAGAGTGTTTAGTTTGGATGTTTTCCACACGAGACTGAAACCTCCTCCTCCTCCTCCTCCTCCTCCTCCTCCTCAGCAGGAGGAGCTCCTGTCAGAGAACTTCATCCCCGACACACGCGACCCGGTCCGGTCCGGTTCTGAAGCGACAAACCCAAACATCAGAGCTGAGGAAACCTTCATGTCTCTGCTTCAGAAGAACCAGAACCTGAACCCTGCCTGGTTCCACAGCAGCTGGACCGGATCAGACAGGTATCCATGCACCGATGGTCCAGCAGACACACCTTCAAGTCCAGGCTGGTTCTGACTCGGTTCCAGCAGAACAGGACCAGACCTCAGGAGCAGAAAGTTTGTGTTTTCAGGCCTCCGGCTGCTGTCTGACTCATAAAAACCAAACTGTTGTTCCTGCAGAGAGAAATCTGGATGCGGATCATTAAACGGTTTCACTGCTTCTCTTTACGAGCCTGAGAAGAACCGAGCTGCTACTGTTTCCACCAACACACAAACACAAGAGCTGGTCCAGTACCAGGACCAGAACCAGGACCTCACGTTCTCACAGACAGAACCCAGCGCCTGGGGGCAACGATCTGCATCAACCAGGCTCAGAATAAAGTTCTGCTCGATGCTCATTGGGTTTGTCAGCCCTGAAGCTCCGCCCACCTCTCCTACCTGAGTGGGACAGCTGCAGCCGCGGGCCCGTTTGGCTCCAGGTTCTGGTGTTCGGGTCGGTTCTGGACTCTGCAGGCTGCAGCAGGAGGAAGAGGCAGGTGATGTGAAGAGATGCAGCCTGCAGGACGACAGCCGACACCCGAGTCATCTCTGAGCTTCACTGAGGAGGAGGAAGATCCCAGCAACAGGTCACATCCCAGTCCGGACCACCGCTGGGGGGGGCGACAGAGACAAACATATTTATTCAGTTTCATCAGTAAATAAACATGTTGTGAACCCAAACATCTGGGTTTTATTCTTTATGGATCAGTTCTCTGCAGGACTTCTGTATCAGAATCAGAAACTTTATTGATCCTCAGGTGGAAATAACAATTATTACAGCTGTAACTCTTCAAGTACGCTTTAGAGAGAAAATACAGAAGAAAAATATTAAAGCTCACTAGAATGAAACGAATATAAACAGGAGAACCAAAGGAACACAGAGAACTATAATACTTTATCAATCAATCAAATTTATTTTGAACATGATGACCATAAAATACAGAGATAACCATACTTAAATATATTACACATATTAAATACAAAATACACATATTTTATGACAATAATAATCTCAACATGTTCGAAATGGAGTAGGAAGAAGTAAAAAACTTATAAACTCCTACCCTGTACTATTTTCAAATAATATATAATAATAATAAACCTCAGACTGACAGTAAATCGTTAAATTACAATTTAAATTTATATTTATCCTTGTACAACCCTTTGTGTTACAATCACTCCTCATATCTGCACATTAAAGGACACAAACACATGAATCTAACGCACCTGAACAAACATCAAGATTTAAGTAAATCAGTTTCCATTTCACAGTTGCCTTTTTTGGCATAAGCGCACTACACACACACACACACACACACACATATATCACACACACACACACACACACACACAC